CAGGCCCTGGGGTCCAATCACCGCTACGGTTCAGGTGCACATCGAGGCTGGCTGCAGCCTGCATCACAAAATTCACTCTAGGCTACATGGCCTTTGGGAAGGCAACAAGAGAACGGCCCATTGCTTCCTGCCACCAGGCAGCAATTAATACCATCAAAAACCTACCACCCCCTTACTCCCAAATGCTTAGAGACCATCTTTTGCTGATTAAGTACTCTTAAGTACTAAGAGGTATCAAAGCAAGTCACCTTTGGCAAGCCACCTAGCCTTGTGCTGTGCTGGAAGATGGGTTGTCACACTGACTCTCTCAAAGACAGCTGTGCTCACCACTGGAATTGCACTCCTAATGCACAACAACCCTTGGGGTTCATGGGCGCACTTCAGCCTCTTCGCCAGCAACAGCATCCTGGGACTAACATAAACACACACAAACCTACCCTTGACCCAGCAAACTCCTCGCGTCTGGCTTCACGCCCTTTCTGCTGCAGACAAGAGCTGCCACGCAATGGTGACGCAGGCTGTTAAGCCTTATTTCTAGATTCGTAAATATTTCCACAGCAGTGTGTAGAATATCCCCCCGTTTTACATGGGGAGAAACCAAAGCTCAGAGAGGTGCTGCAAATCACCTGCAGCCAGCAGACCAGTGGCAGACTTGGCAACCAACCCTTCTCCTACAGGCCAGCCCAGTGCCCGGGTGGCATGGACACGCTGCCGGCCCTCCAGCCCGGCCCTCGGCTTGGGAGAAGGCAAGAACATCCTGTTGCTTTTGGAGCGGTTTGCTGAGCACGATCCCAAAGGGCCGTATGGTTTCAGTCATAAAACACCACGCTCAGGCAAGCTCTCGGCACGACAGCAGCTAAGCCAAGGAGAAGACCTAAAGGACTTCGTATCTCCCTGCTCCAACTCCATACACTTGAAGGTAAAGAAACAACTGCATCCCTCTGGTAGGAAAAAACAGCACCAAGATAACCGGAGTGTCCCAATAAAAAGAAAAAAAAGACACCTCGTGTCCAACTTGGGGATGCAAAGTGAGCAGGTCAGTGCCAGTGCCTGTCAGAATCACTGTGCAAGGTGAGGGACACAAAATGCCACCAGCTGGGGCACGGGGACATTGCCAAGGCAAGGGGGAGAGGAACGCTAAGGCTTGCTTAACATTAACAGACATACATATCTGGAACAGTTATTCCTTTACGGCCTCATAAATTAGTGAGCCCATAAAAACAGGAGCCTCAAGGAGGACATGCCAAAACCCTGCCATGCAAACCATGTTAATTATGATAATAGGCAGATTTTAATAAGCCAGTTCCTGGCTCCCGCACTTTCACCTATAAAACACACATATTTCCAAGGCCAGGGGATCTCAGAAATACCTGCCAGCCATCTAATCGTCTAAACCCCAGTGGCACAAAAACCATGTTAGAAGGTTTGTCACACCTCGTATCCCTTTGAATTTTTCTAGTTAAAAAAAAAAAAAAAGAAAAAAAATCAGATGAAAGAAAACTCCTCCTCTGTAAACCCCAATCTAGTCACAGCAATGAAACAAATGTCTCGGCACAGCCGGTGGTAGTGGTAAAGGAGACAGGAGGGCAAGAGGAGGGAGATGAAAGAACAGTAAATCATCTTCTCCAGACGACGGGACCGGGGAGCTCCTGGATTCCTGGCTGTGCAGTTCTGGCAGCTGACGCTGCTCTTCCTCCGGTGCCCTGGCAGAGAGTCAGGCAGCACTGCCGTCCGCTTCAAACATCTGCCAGCCCAGCCCGTTGGAAGCGCGTCTGTGCTGAACGCTGGAGCGTGGAAGGTGAGGAGGGGGAGCCTGTCGGATCAGCTAAGACTTTAGCTCCCGGTCAGGTTTCATGCTGAAGGGCTCCAGCCTCTCGCTCTCCGGCAGCATGCTGTTCAGCCGCTCCATCAGCGGGATCGTCTGGTCGATGCCCATCTGTATACGGCGGAGGATGGCAGACATCTCGTTGACCTTCTGGATCTGCTCTGCATACTTGGCATACTTCTTCTGGCGCTCCTGCATGAAGCTATAAAGAGTTTCCACAGAGAGGTCCATCTGTTTAAAAACAACAAGCAGAGCGAGGCGCATTAGGCCAACTGTTACCACAGGCCTTTCAGCACGTTGTCTTTCCTAAAAGCAACCAAGAAGCATATTAAGACGCCCCACAGAGCTACCAGCCAGGTACAAAGGAGCTCCTCTGCTGGGGCACGGACAAGTTTGTCATGAAATGGAATGATTCATAGCTGTATACCAGGGAGGACATATGACCGCCTCAGTTCTACACCCAAACGCTGAGTATTTGATCAGAAAATTCTTTATTTATAGGGTTGAAAGCCAACAGGCACTGCGCTGCCAGGGATTTCCCAATAAACTGTACACATATCCTCCAAGTTATCCAAACCCTGGGAACTTATGGCCTCTGCCTACACCTGTAGTATATTTTCAGTGGAGACCGTTCATTTGCAAGCATTAAGCTCTACCATAGTTGGCCAGTGCTAATTTCATCAGCTTAGCCAGGTTACTCTGCGACTAAGCCACCGCTGTTATTACCATCGTTGTCTGGAAAACTCCTGCCTTGGGAGAGAACTACAACAGATTGCTAGTGTCCCTAATTTCCCCGAATCCTAAAAATATATGTGTTATGAGTGACCCCAGGAGAGACATTAAGTAAATCAGCCATGCAATTAAACACGGTAAGTACCCAAACACGGCTCTAGCGTGATGACAATGACAGGAACTGCAGTGCTATTCCTGCCATTGAGTGACGAAGTTAGCCTTTATAATTCACAGCCCAACTTTCTCTTCAGCCAGACCTGTAAACTCCAGGCAGGATTCAGCCGATAGCTAGTACCATACGCACACGAGCCAAGTCAGATGGTTTAAGCTGTTTTACACGTTGTTAAGACATACCATATATTCAGAGAGCTTGGTAACAGATCTGCTCTAAGCCCTCAAGTGCACACCTGAAGCTCAGTTGCTTTGGCTCACCGTAGCCGTGCTCAACAACCCTCGTTGCTCCACTATAGGTTTGGAAAAGACCTTTGAGATCATCAAGTCCAACTATTAACCTAGCGCTGCCAAGTCCACCACTAAACCACATCCCTAAGCACTACATCTACACGTCTTTTAAATACCTCCAGGAACGGGGACTCCACCACTTCCCTGGGCAGCCTGTTCCAGTGCCTGTCTACCCTTTCAGTGAAGTTTTTCCTAATATCCAACCTAAACCTGCCCTGGCACAACTTGAGGCCATTTTCTCTTGTCCTATCACTTGTTACTTGGGAGAAGAGACCGACCCCTGCCTCGCCACCACCTCCTTTCAGGTATGATGGCTCTTCAAACTGGTACGTCTGAGCGGCTGGAACGCATCCTGCAACCGTGCTATGTCGCGGTGGAAAGCGGTCCCCTCGCTCGGGACTCGGCGCATGCCCACAGTGGCTGCCGAGCGAAGGGCAGGAGCGGACATACGCTGACCAGTTTTAGCCCACTGCCTCCTCTTATCACTGTTTTTCCGAACCTCTCCCATCTAATTACCCCCAGGAGGAAGGAGGTCACCACTCATGATGAAGTGGCCTCAGGGAATCACTGCTGAGGACTCCTGGTCTACCCCGGTTGAAACAACAACCCTCACTCCAACTGTGTGACAGAGTCAACCCATTCGGTGGAGAACAGTGACCGTACCTGTCATCAGGGACAACACAAATTTATCGGTGCACTGGTAAAAAACAAGCCGTGCTGACCAGATCTGACTTAATGGGCAAATGTAATTCTGACCCAGCACGCAGTGGTGTGGGGCTGCAGGGGAGAGCCTGCAGCAAGGGGAGGATCGGGTGGAAGCAGTGCAAAGCTGGAAGGGGGATCCCCCACCGAGGAGGGAAGTCCCACCCGACGGAGCACTGCCGTCCCGCTGGCGGCAGCAGTGTTTGACACTGGGGGGAAAACTAGGGGAGCCGTGTTTGCTGACAAATGTCCCTTTCAAGCCCTGGGGAAGGGGTCAAGACAAAAACAGTCGGGCAAGAAAATATTTTATTGAGAAACCTAAGTTACAAACAGCAGGAAAACAAACACGAGTTTCCGCTGAACTGCCATGGGGATTAGGAAGCTTTTTTCCCCCCCCATCACCTCCATCAGAGCTGGATACAGTACCAATTAACCTTTTATTTCGTCTGTACGTTCTACCGCTCTCAGGCCAAATTCTTCCTCTTTGCCTGTGTGCTTTCCTGCGAATTCCTCCCTCCACGCTTTCATGCATGGGACAAAATAAAACCCAGCAGAGCAGGAAACTCCAAATAGAGTGGAAACAATTTAAGCCTACACAGGGGTTTCTATTAAAACCCCAGCTTAATAATTTAGTAGCTTGGCGCTAGCTCTGTAAATTGGAGTGTGTAAAAAGCAGACCACCACCAGGTCTGCTCGGGATGGAAGTAAATTCAATCCAGCGCCTAAAAACATCCCACCTAATGAGAGACGGTGGCGTGGAGTGGCAGCCAGTCGGAAACCTGCCAAAAGCCAGCACGCCTCATTAAACCGAGCAGTGTGGGGACCCAGGCAGAAACCTCCTCTGGTGTTGAAGTTCTCCTCCACAGGCAGGTTCTCCACGCAGCCTCACTGCGCTGTGCAAGAGGCAAAGCGTCCATCTAGCAAGCTCTGAAATAAAAATAAAAAAAAAAACAAAAACAAAAAAACAAAACCAAAGGCCCCCTCTTCTCTCCATTCCAACGATTTTCATCTGTTGACTTTTAGGCTCTTTGTGTAAATACCAGTCTGTTCACTTACTGGAGGGGAACACGGGGAGAAGCTCAAGCTGACCTGCAAAAGGAAGAAGAAATGCAGAGCGGCCTTCCAAGCTCTTTGCTACTTTCAGACACATTCACAATGGCTATAAAAAAAGCTGCCTCACAAAAAAGAGAAAGGGTGGAAGTGAGTGTTTCCTATGGTTTCCCTA